GCCGTGGATTTTAATCACAACATAGAAGAACAAGTTACTTGTCGTTCTCGATCCAATCGAACATGTTGATAATGTTTGGATGCCTTCACGTCCGTCAACAGGTACACTTCCCGTTTATCCTCGGTCTTTATCGATATTTATTCGATATCACCAGCAACCTATCCGAGTTCTGGTAGCTCAGCTTCACATACTCGTACGCGTCCTTCCCGATGTTCCTCACCAGCGTGTGATCCGATCCGATGGCCTGCCCAAGCGAATTGTCCACCGTACTGGTCACGTCAACGTTGTTGAACGTCAACGTCAGATTTTGATGCTTATCCTCATCCTCCAGGTTTTTGGTAGCGTTCCATTGTTCTGGTAGGAAACATTCGATTTGTTGTGTTTGGGTTATGTCGTTTGACGTATAAACGATCAAATTTGACCGTTTACAGGTCAAACGACGAGTGTTCACTCGGCTGTCGACAAAAGCAGGCCACTCTCGATGTGTGCTACGCGATCGTCTGTTTTCTCGGCAGCAACCATTGTGTGGTCCTCCTCATTGTTCTTCATCAGCAGTTCTTTCGGTCGATGCGTCGTCGACTTTGGAAAGCAACCATTTCGTGATGAGTGTGTGAGTGCTGACCACGTTTTGCGTCCATTGCTGCAATGGACGCGCTTTGACCCACGTTGGCGTACAACAATTTGCCATACAATGAAACCACTGGAAGCGGCTCCAGTTCTGATGGAGGAGGCTTTTTGGATAGCGGAAGATAAAGTGTTTATTGTGTTGTACCTTTTGACTATAGTTTTAAGATGTATTGTATAGTCACCAAGAATCCTCGGCTCTGTAAAGTTAATTCGGTTGAGCCTTATCAAATAAATTAATAAACCATTAATAAAAAAGGTCAAACGACACAAGCCAAACTTCAAATCATATGTTCCCTACCAGAAACTCAACCAGATTGTAGCGGCCATGAGCACTCGTAAAATGCTGGATATCGTTTCTGTTGATCTGGCATTGACGTGACCATTGTCTTCGACAGCTCGTACGGTTTGACAAACCAAAACAAAACAATTGAACTGTCAAAATACGACGTTGCCAAACATACAATTATTCACAAACAAAGTCAGTCCAACGACTGGCACTCCGGCACATCGCGGCACACTTGAGGCACACTGAGAAAATATTGGCGCAAAATAAGCGTGTAGCGTGACCACCTCTTGGCCTCAGCACAGATACTGAAATTGATACTGGATTTAAATCTGGGGAGCTAGGGGTAAATATTTCCAAGCGCTACAATCTGCGCAACAAAATTGTGCTAATAATTTGTTTTTGTTTTTTCCTTGTGTAGGTTTCCGTGGAACTACAGAGTTACTCATTGATGCACGGTGGTCGGAAATTGCATAATCACGACCTTAATTGAATTGTGTATTGATTTGATCAAAGAAGAGCCTTTTGAGGAATTGTTCACATAAATATTGTTCACAATTCTACAATTTCAAAAATTTAGCATGGCCATAATGATAAACCCATTTTTTTTTTCCTAAAGAGATAGAAGGATACTTTCTTGAGAAAAGTTGTAGAAGTACTCAAAAATGAAACTTTGTTGAAAATATAAATTTTCTATGTCTAATAGTTTTGAAGATATGTACCGTTTTCAATAATTACCCTCTAAATTTAGTTTCTTATTATTAACTTGCTTTAAAAAATAACTGTGGAAGTGAAGTGCATCTCTAAAATACTAAGTTGAGAGCACGCAATAAGCTAATATGCGATAAGCTATAAGCTTGAAATGCGAAAAAGAAGAAGAAAAAAACTATTGGCTTGGACCAAGGGGTGAGACAGGTTTACACTGAGTTGCTTTTTTGCAGCGAGTAACTCGCGAGTAACTCAATGTACCTCAATATTTTCTATGCCTGCTCCTTTTACTCTTTTTAAGCATATACGTCTCATACTAGACGTCAGTTTTGTCTGTAAATAAAGTAATTCCAAGTGTATTCTGAGCCTTTCGTATAACTAGAATATTATGGAAGAACCTGTGCCGGGGCCTGCTTACTACCAATAACAACCTACACTTCCAACGAGCTTCAAGGGTTGTTCTTCCTCCTCAGCAACCAGTGCCAGTCGTCACTCCAAAAGGGTCATCTCTGATCAAAAAAGCTCTCCAATATTCTTCTAAAGATCTGGAATTCCACCTATAATGCAGCGATCCCATCCTCTTCGATTTCTCCAGTCGTAACAGAAGTCCCATTGGAAAAGGCATCACCGATCCCCTTTCGACTAAAACTTCCGTTGGCATCATGGCGAGCAATATTTCAACCATGGCCGACAAACACAACAAGAAACGTTTATGTGCTCAAGTTATTAACGAAAGAGAAAGTCAACGAAGAGAATCGATCAATGTTTCTTAGGACCTAATGCAATGTTCAGCTTGAATTCTAGTGAGTTATGTATTAACAAAAGAGAAAATCGACGAAGAGAATCGATCATCGCGTTTACGCCCTTATGCATGATCACTGTCGAAATCAAGCTGACAGATTTTCTTCGTCGACTTTCTCCTGGAGACTTCGGTCGACGGCCGCAGCAAAATCTCGGTGGAGTATAGCAAAAACGGAACCGTATCACGACCATCCGGAAGGCCCAGCAAAAGCACCAAAAGCGGGGATGGATGTCCCCCGTCAACAGAACGGCGCCGTGGTAATTCAGAGCTCGGTTCGCAGTTCCATCCAGCGACAGTTTGTCAAGCAATGCTCGATGAACATTTCAAATGGTCCTATCTGCTTTGATCGATTCTCTTCATCGACTTTCTCTTTCGTTAATAACTCAGCTGCAAAACCTTTCCCTGTTGTATTTGACGTTGTGGACGCCAGATAAGAACCTCCTTTATCAAACTATGTGGTAGAATTAGCGCGAAATCTGTTTGCATAGCAGTGGTTATGAAAAGAGAAAGTCGATGAAGAGAATCGATCAAAGCAGATAGGACCATTTGAAATGTTCATCGAGAATGGGACGGGATTATGTATGTCGACGAGTATCGATTTTGAGTATTTGGTCAGGCAGATCGGGTTTTTCTACCACATCAATCAGATAAGCATTCGACCGTCGTAAGTGTAAGGTTGCAACAGGTTCCTTTCACGTTCACGGTTAGTAAAAGTTGAACGAATGTTATTAAACTGAGATGATTTAAGTGTTTCCGAGTTTCGCTTTATATTGTTGTTTTGTTTGACAGCAGCTTTTCGGCATCGCATGAAGGTGCGCCTTCAAATGTTGCTGTGATGCGAAAAGTGAGAAAGCAAATTACAGCGATCTTGCTCACTGAGCAATGTGAGTTACTCGCAATGTCCTTTATATAAGGTCCGGGTCAACAGGCTTATTGGTGTTAGTGAAATGTGCAAATGTTTAGGGGTGTTCGTATTTCATTGCAATGTTCAACTTTTCACACGAAACAGCTGTTAAGAGTGCCGTAAATCTCACTGTTCTCAGTATGGAATGTTATGGTAAAGTGACGTCGTCACTTGAGTGCTCAGCAATGTTTACAATATTTTTGCTTCTAATACCAGCAAGCTGCCTGTTGGCCCGGACATTATATAAATGTCATTGAGTTACTCGAGGTGCCTCAAAAGCAACTATAGACGAGTGCACGGATGGATTTGAGTTCACTCACTCGACAAAAAGTGACACAACAGCGGGGCCCTGTTTACTAAAAATGAACACATAAAAAATGCTCGCGTAACTTTTGAAACGGGTCTATCAACTTATGTATGCAAAACATGTTAAGCCTTTTTCGCGCGAACCGAATACGCTCACCCAAACTAACAAAACCATCGGGCAGAGGAAATTCTCCCCTTCCGGATAGTGCTTTTGGTTTGCGTGGGCGTACTTCGGTTCTCGTGAAAAGGATCTAGCAAATTATTTACAAAAGTTGATAGGTCCTTTTCAAATGTTACGTGAGCATTATTCATGTGTTCATTTTTAGTAAACAGGGCCCCGCTGTTGTGTCAAAAAAAAAAATCAGTTCACCCGTGCACAGGTCTATGAAATTGCTCATGATTAGGAGCTGTCTTGCCCCTTGGCTTGAACAGTTATTATGTAAAAAGTTAATAATGAAAAACAAAATTTACAGTGATAACCATAGAATACGGCCCATACCTATATCAATAAATATTAGGCTTAGGAAACTGTTATCTTCAACAAAGTTTCATATTTTGAGTTGCTCTACGACTTTGCCGAAGAAAGTATCCTTCTTTTTCTTTAGGAAAAAAAGTTAGGATATTAATTTTGTTCATAGTAGGCCATGATAAGTTTTTGAAATTGTAGAGATGTGGGCTATACTAATGTGAACAATTCCTCATAGGTCACTTTTTAGATTAAATCAATAGTTTGTGTGATGGTAACATACACTGAAAAAAAATTTCATATAATTTCCATTGTGAACGCACATGATATTTTTCCAATAACAAATTTAATGATTTTTATCTGAAATTCACATAACATTCACATGATCACATGAATTATATGCGATAAATCACATAAACTTCATTGGACACATAAGGTTCATGTGATTTCGTGGTGCGATTCCCAATTATGAGATCACATGAAAGTTATGTGAAATTCTAATGGATATTTTCCATCGGAAATGTGATTTATTTTTTGAGTGTACGATAAGCATTTTTTTTTATCAGATCATTTAAACAAAAATAAATCATCACCCATGGCTGGGCGCGAGTAGACTCAAACACTCTGTATTTACTGATCATTCCTCCCAGACCAGCTTATGTTTTGAAATCTATACTTTGATAGAGCAATTCCAAAAACCCCGTAGATATGTCACATCAATTGACAATTCCATACTAACCTACAACGCGCTACAGTGAAAGATTTGATTTGATTTGCAATTCTGTTTCGGAAACCTCCATCCGCCGATAAACCTGCCTGCTTGTTCGATAGATTTCAAAAGTGATTGTTAGTCAAATTATATCTCATATTTAAAAAAAAATAGATCGATCCCAAAATCGCCTACCAGTATGCAACCGGGTGTGCTGCTGAACGTGCGACAGCTGCTTGAACTTGCGATCACAGTAGGAACATTTGTAGGGCTTCTCGCCGGTGTGGACGCGGATGTGCTGCACCAGCTGGTGGTTGGAGGAGAAGCTCTTCAGACACTGCTGGCACTGGTGCGGTTTGTTCTCCGGCGGTGGGGCCAACTGGGGCAGCAGGTTCTGCACCGACAGGATATCACCGGTGCAGTTCAGCTCGGCGGCCGCTGCGGCTGCTGCTGCCGCGCCCGGAACGGCACACAGGTCCCTCACGTGCTGGATCTGCATTCTGACTCTGCAAGTGGCCGTGCGAAAAATCGCAAACAGAGAGAGAGAGAAAGAGAAATACGATCCCCGAAAGGACGATGATTAATACTGTCGGGAGGAGGGTGCGGGACGTTTCCCGCCGAATGCATCTAATTGGTAAATTTATTTGATAATAATATATAATCTTATGATATAGGGTACTTCTTTTTTAAATCTCTCTTAATATATAGGTAATACATAGATTTAGAAGCGATTTTTGCAATTTCCGTTTTGAGCCTGCCGGAGATCAGGTGTTGTTTAAAACTTTCGACCGCCCTTTTTGCTGCTAGTAGCGTCAGCCAAGTCGAGAGCTGAGTTGTTACACCAAACACGCTAATACTAACAATAGCAGCCCGGAGTACGCTAGTGGTATTGGTGGTAGTAGTTGCTGTTGTTGTCTTAGCCGTTAGTAGTGGTAATGTGCTGCGCGCGGAAACTTTTCAACTTCACGGGACCGTGATTTGTTTAAAAACCACCCGTAATTAGATAATTAGAAGCGCGTTCGTTGTTTAATGGAAAACTTTTGCCCCGGCGCCGAGAGTCGCGAAACGCATGCACGGTGCCATCCTGGGAACAGCTCAGTCCCGGGGACCATTTCTTAATAACCGAACGCCCCCGACTCAAGAAAAACCGTCGCTAGCATAAATCTCTCGGAGTTTGAGCGAACCAAAAAACCTTTCAACTCCGTTGATTTTTTGTTTCTTCTTGAAAATTCTACATATCGGTGGTGGAATGTTTAAAACAACTGCCTTCCCACAGTAGCAGCATATATGGGAAAGGAAATCGCGCTAAGTCACATACACCACATCATTTCTACGAGGGGGTTTTGAATTTTTATTAAACAACTAACACCTCACCGACCAACCAACCGACCGACCAAGGACGACGGTGGCGGCGACGACGACGACGAAGACGGTGGCGGACTCAAGAAACCCGAGGGGGAAGGCGAACTTTCAGCAGAAAATGGGGTGGTAAGATTACTCCTTCCCCAGGCGGAGAGCAGCACAAGTAGAATCAGAAGCAGTGATGTCCCTTTCCTTTTGGGTGGTAAGTTGGGTGGTTCAGCGGTGGGTGGTTCGGAGCGGAGTCCAAGCAGAGACGGCAGTACACACTTTGTGTGTTGTACTGCCCGAGCTAAAGAAAGTTGTTTTAATGAGGCGTCGTCGTTCCGAACAGGAGAGGATGGAAATGTGTGAGTAGGTGTATGTTGTTTGTGAAGTGCAGGACTTATGGGACGATCATAAAGACCAGTTTCCAGGGGTGGAGACACATTTAAAGGGGTCGATTTAGGGATTTGATTGCTGATGGAACATGATCGTAGCTCGTAGGTTTGTTTGATTGCGGAGATTTTGGGGAACGATTCTGGTGGGGAATGGATGATAACTGATTTTCGAGCTACGTAGCACATCATACCAAGCGCATTTCTCAAGCGTTACTACAGTTGCGTTTCGTTATTGTCAATATTTTCAACCTTTGGCTAGTGAGTCCCAACTTGATATTTACCCTTGCAATCAACTTAAGGTTCCTTGAACACTTTCACAATAGTCAGGGCATTCTAAGCCTAAACGTGTCTTAGTCCCTTGTGGACCTAGTCTAGAAATAATTCGGTATAATTCCAACCTGTTTACCATGTTTGGTACTATTTTATTAGAGTAAGGAGAATGTTCAAGGCATATCCAGAAGATATTGAGGATAAGCCAGCAGAATTTAGTGGGTAATTTAAAAAGATTTAGTCCGAAGAACTTCTTATGGAAGCCCTGGTGGATTCTGAGAAGTTAAGTTAAACTTGTGCTTTTTCGGAGTTTCGAAACCATTTGATGTTATGATGATAGGTTGCATTTGCAAGTTTCAAGGTTCAGAGTTTCAAGTTCAAGTTTCAGAGGTTATAATGCATGTGTTTAATAAATTAAACCTGTCAATTCCGGTTTCAGAGAGTGACAAACAGTGATTTTAGAAGAGTTCTCAACGATCATAAAATCACTGATTGTAGCTCTCTGGAAGCTAAATTAACAGGTGTTATATAGTTGGAGATGCTTAACGTCAATATCAGGCTTAAAGTAAACATTTTATACGATGTAGATGAAAGTATAGAATTGATAGTTCCGTTATAGAGGAAGGTACAAATCGGATCGAGCAGATGGATCGCAGTAGGCTGCGCTTGAAAGCTGACGTGTTTTTCACTTGCTGCGTATTTTTCGTAAGCGAATTAATCATATTTTGGCTTTAAATTTGTTAATTTGTGTGCTTAAAATTTAGTTGCAAGTGTTCATAAAGTTATCATTTAGTGATATACCGTGTTTTGCCTGTGTTTGCCTTGAGTGGCTTGAATCGGTGTCAATTTTAATTGCCTCTCGGGAGCCCAGTTCTCCCAGTTCGGATGATACACTTTCGGCGTGTAGTTCAATTGAGAGATCGGTTCGGTTGGTGAATTAACCCGGGAACGTTTTGAAAATGACTCCGTCGCGAGTTTTGGAGGTGATTTGGTGGTCGACGTTGCCGTGAATCAGCCAGTTTTCCGCTTGCAAAAGTGCTCGGCTGCTGATCTCTCACCGGTGTCGGACATTGCGAGCAATATGAAAGATGCCTCGCTGGATACGCCCAAGACTGGACGGGTGGCAGTTGGTGGCCGCGAACTGTTCTTGGGGAAAACACTACACGCGAAGCTCCTCCCAGATGACCATGACAATGCAAGAAAATTTGTGGTCGTTAAAGGAAGTATTACGACAAAGGTGCATCACGAAATGAGATGCAAAGCTTAGAGAAAATCAAAATTACGGAACCCATGGATTGGAGGATCAAATTAACATGGTGAGACCAGTCCAAATACATTTTACAATTAAAAAACTACAAGGGACAGCCCTATGGGGTTGTACGCAATGGTGACGTAGGAATACGTGGTCTTAATATAATAAATCTTATTTGTTAACTGCAGCAGGAGCTAGTGTTTTGTGTAGGAATAGAGATTTGCGCGGGGTTCTCTCTGATTATACACGCTTGACATAGATAGCCCACAGCAATTCACGAAGAGCTTCTGATTCCGATCAATAGCGCCGTGGCTTCGTCCTCCTTCTATGGATGCTCATGTAGGCTGCAGCTTGCTGCTTGCGGATAGCCTTTCGTTGTGTACTGAAGATCACCACCACTCATCACGCAGTGATCGAATAAACACCGTTCGATGAGACCGAATGGAATTCACCTTTGAAATCTGTGTTAGGGAAATCGCTTTTCGCAAGCAATCGGTGATAATTTCAATTATCATAGCAACAGTTGCACATTCGTGCAATTTTCAATATTGACATTTTGAAAAATGATAAAGTCTTAAATTTTACAAATGCGTAGGAATATTTCTGATCGATTGGTGATAAAATTATTGAAATTGGTCCAGGGGCAACTGAGTTATTAACGTTCGAAATCTTTCATAATTTTGGTACATGTTCCATTTTCGGTTTTCACAAAGTGTACCCTCATATAGAAATCACAGACGTAGTCCTAAGTCAAAAAACTAAATACGTGCCAGGTTTGAAAAGAATATTTTCGAACCTGGAAGTGTGTATGTAATACCATTATCCATTTGATAACCGTGATGCATACATGCGAGGCTTATTGTAATTGGAAGTAACCTTGGAATGGGCGTGACTCTTCAGACATTCTGAAACTCTAACTCCCGGACTAAAGCTGTCTATAATGACCATAAATCCGACATTGTAGAGAGAGTTCTTCCATAATAACACTGCCGGCCAGTGGGGGTTACACACACATGTACGAATCGAATCGAGCATCCATTTTACCAAACTCTTACGTTGATGAGGGGCGGTGAAGGGTGTTTCCCTCGCCACCATTGGCAAAAGGAATGATCGCCAATACGCTCATGCTTACCTCCGAGTTTCATTAACTTCAGGAAAATTGCATGAACTTTAAAAAGTTGTCAAAACTTCAGTCGAGAATAAAGATCTAAAGGGAAGCTATGTAGCTCTCAGCACGCAATACAAAGAACCGATGCGTTGAAGCAAATCAAGCAACGATGGGACTGATATGCGATTATGGGCAGAATAGTTAATTGAATTAATTTAATTACAGCCGTTGCCTGCGCCGGAGCCAAAGGCTATTGCGTGTCCCTAGCTTCATCCAGTGTTGAAAACCCAGGGCAGCTCCATGAAATTGCAGAAACTTTAGGGAAGGTCCGAAAACTTCAAGTAAATGTCAAGTACTTTAGGGCAGTCCTATCCAATTCAGAAAAATTAGTGACAACCTTGAAGAAATTCCAAACGTACTCTAGCGAACATCAGGGAATATCGGAGAACTTGTCAGAAACTTCAAGGAAGTTCCGAGAAGCGGACATCATTTATTTCAACAGCAACATAAACAGCAGAGCAGACAGAACTTCAGGGATATTCCAAGAACCTCATGAATGATGAGAGAACTACAGAGTGACATTTTGCAAATAACTATGGTTGCTGGCTCTTTAACTTATACGGACACACACAAATATTTAAAACGGTGAGCCACAAGAACAAAACAGAAAACAAAATAGATTAAAACAGGCTACAAACGAATAATCCGAACAAAACAGAGCTCAGCTGGCATGGGTCCAATAGGGGAAATCCATCCAGCTGAGATGTCCCGACGGCCGAAAAAAGTTCCTACTACACCAAATTTGGTAGATTTTGGCTACTTTTAAAAACGTTACTAGTGCTCCCAAGGCCGGAGTACCATTCCCGAGCAGATCCCTGATGCTGGAAGTTAGGCAGAGCGACTCCCGAAGATTGTGGAATTCCGGGCAGTTGCACAGGATGTGTTCGACAATGTAGTTGTAGTAGAGCTTGGTGTGTCCGAAGCCGCGAAATCACACGTTGATCCCTCAGGTTGTACTGTTCGCTCCATGCTTCTGTTGTCCCTTTGACTTTGCGAATGAAGGCGGTTCTGTTGCGGAACCACTCGGCCTCCCATGTCGCTTGAATGGTCTGCTTGATCCATCGCTTGACGCCCTGT